TGCTTACTAATACATTTTGCAGCAGATTACGAAAAGAATACATAACTAAATTCACACGTACATACTTATAATAAAACAGTGTAGATTTTATTAAAACTTTACAATTTTCTTAAGAAAGTGATCACTTTTTGTTATAACTCACACTTCCGAATATGAATTTACATACAATATTTATACAACCAAAAGTAAATAAAAAATTACCCTCCCAATATGTAGTACAATTTTGTAAAAAACTGTTTCAAAGCATCTTGCGAGGTGGTGAAGGGGGAGGGCGGGTGAATTCTTGCTTTTTCTGGGACCTTGGAGGCAAAACCCTATCTAATACCTTTTGTCCCATGTTTCTAACCCTTCTAAAAGTACCCGTACTTTTTGTACCCGAGAAGTAGCTATATATTTATAATGTAAAATACGATGGTTTTTGATGAGTTGTACGAAATATGAATAAAATATAGAATTATAAAGAAAAATTCTAGGTACTGCGTTGCCTGGTGGGTAGCGTGGTAGTCTCATAACCAGAAGGTTATTAGATCGATGCTTGCCTAGGTTATTGTCCTATTCTTCTTTTTTTGGATTATTTTAAAAATTTTTTTTTTATTTTGTTCAAATTTTTTGTTTTATTTTTTTACATATAGATTAATATATATAATTATATATAATTAATATATATAATTTTAACAGATAAATATTATTATAAAAGTTTAAAGAAAATTTCCTAAAAAATATTGTTATAATAGTTAAGTACATAAATATGTATGTATATTTCTTTTAAAGCTCCCTATCTAATTTTTTTTTAAGCTTCCTATATGAATTGAAATATAGAAACACATAATAATTATTAAATCATGGGGATAATATACATAAAGAATTTTTCAAATAAAGAAAAGGTTTAGGCATAAATAAAATAATATTTTTATTCAAATATATGTATGTACATGAATGTATTAGAATTTAACATTTTAAAATTTTTTGTCCACAAAATTAGAAATAAAATTTTAAGCATAAACATACATAATTATGAATGTATACCTATTTTTTTAAAACTGCGGGTGAACATATAGAAATAAATTTTTCAAATAAAGAAAATGTTTAGGCAAAAATAAAATAATAATTGTATTCAAATATATGTATGTACATTTGAATGTAATTTTTCAAATAAAGAAAAGGTTTAGGCAAAAACAAAATAATAATTTTATTCATATATATGTATGTACATATGAATGTATTAAAATTTAGCATTTTACATATTTTCGCTTGGAACAATAAAAATAAAATTCTAACTAAATACGTACATACATATATTATATTCTGTATGTATATTTTTTTAAAGCTTGGTGAATGGTGACGAAACATATTGAAATAAACAACAAATAAAGCATTATTATTCAGATGCCACAAAACATCTGTTGTCTTTGACAGAAGCTGACATTTATTTACGTTTAAATTATTTCGATTTTCCGAACCAAAAATATGTGAGATCATTATAATTTTCAAATATTATTTATTTCTCAGTTTGTGTTTCTAATTTAAAACGTAAAACGTATCATTTATTTCTTGGTTTGTGTTTCTAATTATAAAAAGTATAAAAGAAAAATGTGCTTTTGTTATACAAAAATTTTTTCAGAAAATCTTAAAATAGAGCTATTTCGGGGATAAAAAGTTCCAATGTCAGATTTTTCTGGGACCCTAGAGGCAAAACTCTATCTAATGCCTTTTATCCCATGTCTCTAGCCCTCCTTTAAACGCATAATTATTATATCATGGGGGTAATTTTACAAAAATTAATTTCTTAAATAAAGAAAAGGTTTAGTCAAAAACAAAATAATAATTTTATTCATATATATGTATGTATGTATGTATGAATATATTAGAATTGATATATTAGAATGATTAGAATTGAAGATTTTAAAATTTTGCGTTCCAACATATGAACGTATGTACATATGAATGTATTAGAATCGAAAATTTTGAAATTTTGCTGTTGGAAAAATTATAAATAAAATTATAAATGCAAACATACATAATTATGAATGGATACCTGTTTTTTTTTAAACTGTGGGTAAACATATAGGATTGAATTTTTCAAATAAAGAAAAGGTTTAGTCAAAAACAAAATAACAATTTATGTATGTAAAAATATATGTATGTATGCATATATGATTATATGTGTGTATGTATATATGAATGAATTAGAATTGAAGATTTTAAAATTTTTCGTTCCAACATATGAACGTATGTACATATGAATGTATTAGAATCGAAAATTTTGAAATTTTGCTGTTGGAAAAATTATAAATAAAATTATAAATGCAAACATACATAATTATGAATGGATACCTGTTTTTTTTAAACTGTGGGTAAACATATAGGATTGAATTTTAAACATAAAGAAGAGGTTTAGTCAAAAACAAAATAATAATTTATGTATGTAAAAATATATGTATGTATGCATATATGAATATATGTATGTATGTATATATGAATGGATTGGAATTTAGCATTTTACAGGTTTTTGTTCGAACAATAAAAATAAAATTTTAGGTCGATACATACGTACATAAATTGTGTATGTATATTTTTTTAAAGCTTGCTGACGAAACATAATATTAAAAACAATAACAAATGAAGCATTAATATTCAGTTGCCACAAAACATCTGATGTCTTTTATAAAATCTGACATTTATTTAAGTTTATTTCGATTTTTCGAAATTAAAATATATGTGAGATCATTGTATTTTCGAATATTATTTATTTCTCGTTCTCGGTTTATGTTTCTAATAATAAAAAGTATTATTTCATTTGCTGGTTTGCGTTTCTAGTAATATAAAGTATAAAAGAAAAAGGCTCTTTTGTTATACAAAATTTTTTTCAGAAAATGTTAAAATAGAGCTATTTCGGGGCTAAAAAGTTCCAATGTCAGATTTTTCTGGGACCCTAGAGGCAAAACTCTATCTAATGCCCTTTGTACCATGTCTCTAGCCCTTCTAGAAGTACCCGTGCTTTTTACCACCTGAGAAGTAGCTATATATATATAATGTAAAATATGATGGTTTTTGATGAGTTATACGAAATATGAATAAAATATAGAATTATTAAGGAAAATTCAAGGTACTGCGTAGCCTAGTGGTTAGCGTGGTAGTCTCATAGCGTATTTTTATTTTTTTTGCATTATTTTAAATTTTTGTTTTTTATTTTGTTTAAATTTTGTGTTTTATTTTTTTTTTAATATATAACAGATAAATGTTATATAAAAGTTTAAAGAAAATTTCCAAAAAAATATTCTTATAATAGTTTGGAAAAATTCGCAAAAATTTTAAGTACATAAATATGTATGTATGTATATTTTTTTTAAAGCTTCCTGAGTAATTTTTTTAAGCTTTTTATATGAATTTAATAATATTCAAAACTGTAGAATATATAGAAATAAATTTTAAACGCATAATTATTATATCATGGGGGTAAACTTACAAAAATTAATTTCTTAAATAAAGAAAAGGTTTAGTCAAAAACAAAATAACAATTTTATTCATATATATGTATGTATGTATGTATGAATATATATATGTATGCATATATGAATGTATTAGAATTGAAGATTTTAAAATTTTTCGTTTCAACATATGAACGTATGTACATATGAATGTATTAGAATCGAAAATTTTGAAATTTTGCTGTTGGAAAATTATAAATAAAATTATAAATGCAAACATACATAATTATGAATGGATACCTGTTTTTTTTTAAACTGTGGGTAAACATATAGGATTGAATTTTTCAAATAAAGAAAAGGTTTAGTCAAAAATAAAATAACAATTTATGTATATAAAAATATATGTATGTATGCATATATGAATATATGTGTGTATGTATATATGAATGGATTAGGATTGAAGATTTTAAAATTTTTCGTTCCAACATATGAACGTATGTACATATGAATGTATTAGAATCGAAAATTTTGAAATTTTGCTGTTGGAAAAATTATAAATAAAATTATAAATGCAAACATACATAATTATGAATGGATACCTGTTTTTTTTAAACTGTGGGTAAACATATAGGATTGAATTTTAAACATAAAGAAGAGGTTTAGTCAAAAACAAAATAATAATTTATGTATGTATGTAAAAATATATGTATGTATGCATATATGAATATATGTATGTATGTATATATGAATGGATTGGAATTTAGCATTTTACAGGTTTTCGTCCGAACAATAAAAATAAAATTTTAGGTAGATAAACACGTACATAAATTGTGTATGTATATTTTTTTAAAGCTTGCTGACGAAACATAATATTCAAAACAATAACAAATGAAGCATTAATATTCAGTTGCCACAAAACATCTGATGTCTTTTATAAAATCTGACATTTATTTAAGTTTATTTCGATTTTTCGAAATTAAAATATATGTGAGATCATTGTATTTTCGAATATTATTTATTTCTCGTTCTCGGTTTATGTTTCTAATAATAAAAAGTATTATTTCATTTGCTGGTTTGCGTTTCTACTAATATAAAGTATAAAAGAAAAAGGCGCTTTTGTTATACAAAATTTTTTTCAGAAAATGTTAAAATAGAGCTATTTCGGGGCTAAAAAGTTCCAATGTCAGTTTTTTCTGGGACCCTGGAGGCAAAACCCTATCTAATGCCTATTGTCCCATGTCTCTAGCCCTTCTTTAAGTACCCGTACTTTTTGGTACCTGAGAAGTAGCTATATATATATAATTAGAAATCACATGCATAAATATGTCTTTAAAAACCCATTGTCATCATTTCTTACATACATACATGTGTGTATATTAAGAGAATTTAAAATTTTCAAATGATTCATAAACCTGAATTTTTATAAGGGCGTGGAAGCATACATTGTAACAGAGATCAGTCCCCGATTAAATATCTATTAATTATTACTTAAAAATTTCTAATTGAATATTCATGAAAAAGCCCATTTTAAAATAAAAATCAAAAAATATGTTTGAAATTGTTACTACTCACCTTTTGATATCCAATTTTAGGCAATCTTCATTTGTACAATTTGGAGTAAATGTTGCTTCTAAAATTGCTAGTTTTGAATCTAAATGCCCACATGTTAGACGAACTTCTGTGTCATGACATGCCCATTCTTCAACGACTTCTGTTGAAAATCATTTAATTTCAATCGATGTTAAATGTCATAACACAACGTTGAAAAACACAATTTCCAGATTGAAAGTAAGAAATATAAGTTAAATTTGAATGTTAAATAAAATTTGAAATAAAATGCTCGGATTTAAATATTTTTCAGTAGTTCAACATGCCACTACAAAATAATAAAAAATTTTACCAAATAGTAAACGAAAACTAGAACTAGAATACTTATGTATTTGAGATAACCGTAGATTCTAGACGAAGAAATCTTAAAAGAAACTTAGGAGACTACATTTTTTCGTTTGCTACAATGTATATTCTCATAAATTTACTGTTGTTCTATACATATTTCTCTTTCAATACCTTTTGTTTTTTTGGAGCAGATCAAATATGTATGTGTTAAAATCCTAAATTTGAGAGAAACTTTATTTAAAAAAAGAAACATATTTATGTGAATGTGAGTGACATCACGATTTTGCTTTTTTATTCGTAATTTTTTTTTTAAAAATCATAAAGTAAAAAATACTTTTTTCCACATTAAATTTTGTTGGAAGCATCCCAATCTTTTCCAAATTTAATCTTAATGACAAATACTTTTAATAAATGTTAATGTTAATACTTTGGAATTAGATGTTCAAATCTCAACGGTTTCCGAAATACAGAGATTTTAAGGAATTTCCACGAAATTTGTAGCTGCACAAGTTTTTTTGGCGCTTACATACAAACTTATTTCACATTTTCCTTTAGAAATTTACATTTTTAACAATTTCAAGAGCATGTGTGTGTTTGAATATTTATATAACTTTAAGCTTCAGTAATGAAAAGGATCTGTTAAAATATTTTTGCCGTACCTATAAATATTGATTGGCCCCTTTAAAAGAAATTTTTTTTTTGGTTTGGCTCCTTTAAAGTCAATTTTTTTTTAGTTGTTTCCTTCTTTGGGCATTGTCAAACTCTTGAGAGGAGTCAAACTTTTGTTTTAAGGATCTTCAAAGACGAAATTTTAAAATTTTTTTAAAAACTTATGTTTCTTGTACTTGTATTCATGGTCAAACAAAACATACCACATATGCTAGACTATTTTTAATATTAACGATTTTTTATATTTTTTTAATAGAAATGTAATAGTTTATATTAGACAAACCTAAAAAAATGATAGAAATGTTAGAAAAGAAGCTGCTGAAATAAAATATTAATAACAACTGTTATTTTACAAAATTAATATTTGTATGGAATTTGTATGTTCGGTAGAAATATGAAAGATGACTTTTGAACTTTTATGTAGACTTTGTTTTTGCACCTTGATAGCATCAATTTAATTTTTTAAGGCGCTTATAGTCCTTCAAGAACCTTTGGCCAAAAATGATAGAACAAAAGTTTCTTGCCTCACCATAAGCTATGACATGACGTTCGCTACAAAAATAAGATTTTTTATATTATAATTGTACTTTTTCAATTTAATTTTTTAAGGTGCTTATAGTCCTTCAAGAACCTTTGGCCAAAAATGATAGAACAAAAGTTTCTTGCCTCACCATAAGCTATGACATGACGTTCGCTACAAAAATAAGATTTTTATATTTAAATATTTTAATTGTACTTTTTTAACGCTCTATATTATAATTTTTAAGTGTTCATCCATGAGACAAAATAATTTTCTATAACAAATAAGAATCAAAAAAATAATCACACAATTTAATAGACGTATGCTGTATATAACACATTGACGTGTATTTTTACAGTTTAATAAAAAGAATGCCTTACTTCTAATTTAAATGGTTTCGAGTTAGTATTCAGGACACTGTACATATTATTGTAATACTAAGTTTATATATTAAATATAATTTATTGTAATAAAGCCTTAAAGGTATTGAAAGAGAAATTTATCATTGCATTGATATTGTAAAGAATACATCAGATTAAATAAAGCTGTTGTCGTGTTTCATTTTCAGAAGATTCAATTTAAAAAAATAAAAATTCCTATATCAGATATTTTGTTCGAATAAAATAAAATATTTATCAATATTATAAACTGTTGAAAACTAAAACTCACTTGACTGGTAGAATAAACACTACTTAGACAGCCGTTTGAAATAAAGTTTTAAGCCGATTCAGCAGCCTGACATTAATTATTTACAGTTTTTATAATAGAATAAATATTCCCTGACTTTTCTGTGTTTTTAAAATGAACAAATTGACGTTGATTTGGACAGAGGTTCCCGTCAAAACTTGAATTTTCAACACTTTGAAAAGCTCAAATAAAATTTTACAGATCTCACAAGAATCTGAAAGTTTTTTCGCAGAAAGTATTTATTGAAATATAGAAATATGTGACAAAGCTGAAGATATTTTCGTAAATCAAAATGTTATATTTTATTTTAATCATTCAAAAAGAGGAAAATTTATCACATTTCAAAAAGAGGAAAAATATATAAAGTCGACTATAATATATTTAATTTCAGTAATAAACTGAAATTAATTATTTATTATACAGGATGTTTCGCATAAGGTGGCTAATAATTTCATGAATGAATCTTTGATCAGGGGGTGCTGATAAAGAACAGTCAATTGCCTGTAAAACAAGCTCTCAATAATAACTCTATGTTGTATAGTTCTGAAATTTATGTTGTATAGTTCCAGTACGTTTTCGTTCAACACCCTGCAGCTCGGAAACTAATATATCTGCATCGCCCTCACCTATAGAATTTTTTACTAGAAATTGATCAAAGAATATCCCTGAAATTATTTACAACCTTATGCGAAACTTTCTACATACAAAAATATTGAACTTACCAATTGGGCTAACTAGTCCTAAATTGATGCAATTTTCTCCTTGTATAACAACCGATGCATAATAAAAAACAATTGACGGCAAGATATCCAAAAAATTCATTTTGTTGATAAATAATTAATAATTTATTTAGCTTAAATATTTATGTATATATAAATATGCATATGTGTGTGTATTTTATTTAATATGTGTATAAATAAATTATTCAGTTATTTAAATAAGTGAACCTTAAACAAAAAACTTCTACTTTGGTTTCTGTTATCACCTAATTAAAATTGCTTTAAGTCTCAACTCAATACTTTGTTATAATTTTAATCAGTTTATAATTTGAACTTATTAAAATTAATGTTTTCGCTTCGCTTTTTCAATTTAAACTAATTTAACTATTACAAATAAAATAGATAAATTAAAAAATATTTATATAATTTCGATTTATCACTATTTAATTTAAAATTTGCTGTAGTATAAAAGAAATAAAAGTGAAAATATTTAATATCAAGGTAGTTAAGTTAAATTCGAAAACTTTCAATGTCTTCATTAAAATTTTAAAGAAAAAGAACATTTTTTTCTTGGTAAATTTTTAATTTCCATTTGCAAAATTTCTCTTCAGAGTAACTATTTTTACAAAATTTTAATTTTTAATTTTCACACATTTTTTATAATTTTTATAGTTTTTATTGTAACAAACTGTTTCCTTTTCATTTTACTTTTTTCAATATCTATTGCATTATTTCTTTGGTATAAAGTTTTCAAGATAAATAAACGTTTACCTGATTTTATATCATTTTCTATTTTAATTAAAAATACAAAGAATTCTCTTTTTCACTTAAATTAAAATAATAAAGTACATTCCAAATGTTTATTTGTTAATCATTTTTAAAATATCTTCGATATATTAATAAAATGAGCCATTAAAGTAGGACAATTGGAATTTTAATTTTTTTGTTTTGCTTTAGTATTCAGTTAACACTGTGAAAATTAATACAAAAATATACTTACACATATCTTTGCTAATTTTTGTTAACCATTCTATAAAAACTATAATTTAATTAAGTTTTCAAAATTTTAAATATAAATACAGATTTTATTACTAAGAATAAATGCTTAATTACTCCACCAAATAGAAACTGCCCTAATCGTCATAATTTCTCAATAAAAAAGTGAAAGGTACAAATTGTATGCATACTTCTATGAAGCTTCATTTTCTTTTTTTTTTTCAAATTAGAGAAATTTTAAAAAACAACAAAAAATCTGTGACTCAAATAGCTTTTCGAAAAAAAACAATATTGTCTTGAAAAACCATACTCGCTGTTTTCAAAACTACATAAATCTTACATAAATCTGCACAATAAACGCGCACTAAAATGGTTAAAAGTTTTACTTAGAACTAAAATAAAGTTATTGGTGAGATTCGCCCACCCATACGATTTTTTTCATAAAACTCCAAGAAATAATACAGGTTTTTACCAGAACTAGAATTTGCAGTTAATAACGTGCATAGTTAAAGTACTCGTAAAAACTAAATAAAAAACGAAAATACTATATTTTTACAAATTTGGTGTTTAAGAAGGATGATTTGATAAAAACTTTAATTGCATTTACATATTCTATCAAAATTTATAATTGTTATTATTGTTTTGCTTCTTTTAAAAGCGTCGTAATAATATACATACATACTTATGCATATCCAGCGAAGAAGTAAATTGTTATAGTAAAAATTTCTCAGAAAAAACACGACAATTCAATCAAAAATGATAAATTTTTTACTAAATATCTGTAGTGGCCGTATCTGTGAATTTTATCTGTAGTGACCGTCGACTAAGCCAATTCGATTTTTTGTTTAACTCCGGGTCCAGTTTTCGGGCTTAAACTTAAAAATGTATAAAATTACAAAGAATAAGACAACATTTTCAAGATTCGTTTTGTTCTATGGAACCAGTACATTTAGAAATATAAGAAGCGAAATCTATATTTTTGCGACCTGTGAACGTGAAACTTAAAATATTTAAAAAAAAACTAATATGATATAAATGGAATTTTGTCTTGAAATATAGCACACAATTTAAATTCCAATCAAAACAAATTTAAAAATACTTTTCAGATTTTTTGAAGTCTAATGCTTTGACCTTTTCATAAATATTCATTTTTAATACTTACTTGTAAAATGTACTTATACTCATTTTTATTATTACTTGTAATTATATTTATATCATATTTATATTACTTGTATAAGTAATATAATATATTATATTTATATAATTACTTGTAAATATATTTATATCACTTATATAATTCCAGCTTAATTCTTTTTTACCTTAACTATTATTAAGTTGCAACTACAGTTTCTTTATACATATAAGAAAATTACGTTTAAACAAAATATATTTAAAACGACTTTAGTACCACTTCTAAATGAAAAAAGTTTTGAAAACAGGAAAAATTAAATTATTCCAAAAACTTTTTAATAACATTGTAAAATAATCTAACTTGCAAAACGCAGTGAAGAGGTGAAATTTTCAATGTATTGTATTCCAAAACGTGCTCTTCATATTGTACACAATTCTAAAATGTATCGAATACGCAGTCGAAACTTCATACAAAAGTAAAGCGTGTAATAAAAAATTTGAGACTGCTTTTATTTCAGATTGGTTTTTAATTTTGATGATGATTTTGAAGTTGGAGACTATTCAAATTATTACATTTTTTTCTGAGAAAAATATATTCTGGTAAGAATAATTTTGAGATTAGTAAAATATTTTATAAAACAGAAAAGAAATGCAAGGAAATCAAAACGCAAGAACAACAAATTATTAAAATTGAACTACTAAGTCTTTTAGGAAATCTTTTAGTATTTTTTCATAATAATTAATTACTACATGGATACTTATTTGAAAAATTTTAAATAAAAGAATAATATTTTTGTAAAGCTGTATTAAAACTTTTTATACTGCGTTTTGGAAGTCACCGATATTAATAGAAACAAAAAGTGTAAAAATACTTATTTAAATTAAGTGCTACTTATTTAGTTAGATTTCTTTCCAACAAATGTTTTTTGATATAGAGGTGAAAGCAATAAAAATGTAATATATTGGGGTAATGTAAATGCAAAAGCTATACAAAAAATATAAAAAAATAACAGCAATTTTAAAATGTATATTTTAATTCTTTACAATTCTCTACAATTAAATTTTATGTTGTAATTTTATGTTTTTTATGTTCATTGCGATCCTTATAAATGATTTCTGTAGTATAATTATTAAATACCTATATATATATATAAACTTGTACAAATATTCAGTGACAAATAGTACAAATAAATTCAGACATGTAATTTGTACAAATTTATTTGTAGTTACAAAATTGTAATTAGTATCAAATTAATAACGTTGGGTCAAACCAATGGAAATATTGTTGCACTTTTCCCTTCAACAAGTAAAAATACTGCTTTGAAATACAGTCTATTAAAACTATCTTCAATCACATACGAAAATAAAGTGTCTTTCAAAAGTCACGCCTAGATGTTGTTTAAAAGTAAAACATCCAAAAATTGAGAATTTAGAATTTTTCATTATTTTTATTAAATATATAGCTCATTACAATTATATGTGAAAAATTACACCATTTAAATGTCCACCACGCGCACATCTACAAGCTGTCATTCGAAAATCAAAATTTTCAAGGACTCGCTCACACATCATCACATGGAGTGCAGCAATCTCATTCCGTATGTTGTGTTTCAGATCTGTAATTGTTGATGGCTTGTTCACATAGACTTTACTTTTCAAAAAACCCCACAAACAGTAGTCTAAAGGAGTTAGATCGCATGATCTAGGTGGCCAGTTTATGTCATCATTACTTGAAATTAATCTATTGGGAAACTTAGATCGCAATAATGCAATGTTTTCCTGTGTTGTGTGACTTGTGGCTGCATCCTGTTGAAAATATAGATGGTCTATGTCGATTCCTTCAAGCTTAGGCCACAAAAAATCTTCAATCATTTATCTATAGCGTTGGCCATTCACAGTAACAGCTCTTTCATTTTCATCTTCGATGTTGAAGCTTGTTCAGAAACACTTTGTGCTACCGCAGCAATATTTCATTAGAACGACCGGTTTTTAATCTGCCAGTTCTTTTTCTATCATCGAACAGAATCTGTTTCCTGAAATTTTTTCACCAACCTTTGAATTGTCGACTGATTCGGACGATTATATACACCAAAAATATCACGAATTTTGCAATATGTTATTTTTAAAAATCGACCATTTTCATAATAAGTTTCAATAATTTTAAGCCGTTATTCTTTCGTGTAGGTGTGCATGGTTAAAATTGTACTTGTGTCTGCTTAATAAACGCCAAAGATGACATGGAAAAAAGCGTTTAAAAAATATTCGTTACTGACATCTAGGCGTGACTTTTGGAAGACCATTTATTTCTAAGGTTGCATACATTTAGGATAAACAATTTACGCAGTCTTTGAAATAAAGCAAAAATTTACATAAAAAGGGGTAAACATAATGCTCCATTTTAAGGGTTAATTGCATGAGTTAAAATAAAGTTGGGTAAACCAATGGTTTGTATTGCAGCACTTTTCCCTTCAGCAAGTGAAAATTCTGCTTTTAAATACAGTCTATGTATACCTATCACAGATTCTAAAAATTATTTTCATTCATATACAAAACTCTTTCTAGGAATGCATATATTTAGGATGATGCATACATGCAGTCTTTGAAATAAAGCAAAAATTAATATAAAGAGGGGTTACCATAATGCTCGATTTTAAGATTTAATTATGTGAGTTAAGAAAAATAATTATATTTTTTAATGTCATGGAATTTACTGTTAGCTTTTTGTGTTTATAGAATTTTGAAAAACCTTGCGGTTTCGGAAATATAAGGTGTCAAAAATTCAAATTTTACAAATTTCAAAAGGCAATAACTTGAGAGGGGAAAGAGATGGAAAAAAATTTTCTTCCAACGAAATGAACTATTTGTTAATGTCTAAAAGCCCATAAAATTTCAAGCTTTTACAGGTTGGGGTCTAGAAAATAAACGACATCAAAAATTTGGAAAAAACGGACTTTAGATAACGGTAAATTTGAGCGGCCATTTTGTTTTTCTAAAGTTAACCTTTAGTATACCCCGCTAGGGGAAGCAAGCCTCTGCCTTTCTGCGTTTGCAAAATTTGAAAAATCCTTATGGTTTCATTGCACTAAATAGTTAAAGAATGGCATTTTTAGGGTTTCAGGGGGGTATAACTTCTAAAGGGGGCGAGATAGATAAAAATTTTGTTCTACGAAAATAAGTTTCTAGTAAAAATCTATGTACGTACAAGTAAAAATCTATGTACGTACAAAATTTCAGCTTTCTATCTTCAAGGGTGTAGAAGTTTTGTAAACAGACACACGGACAGACGGACGGACGGACGGACGGATGGATGGACGGACAGACGGACGGACAGAGTGAAACTAATAAGCACTTTTTTTTCAAAAATTTTTTGGAAAAGTGCTAAAAATAATTATATTTTTTAGTGTCATGGAATTTATCGTTAGCTTTTTGCATTTATAGAAATTTAAAAAAGCTTACGGTTTCGGAAATATAAGGCGTCAAAAATTCAAATTTTACAAATTTCAATAGGCGATAACTTGAGAGGGGTGGAGATGGAAAACAACTTTCTTCTAACGAAATAAAGTATTTATTAGTGTCTAACAGCTGGCAAAATTTTAGGTTCCTATAACCTGGGGTCTAGAAAAAAAACGACATTTAAAATTTGGAAAAAACGGATTTCAAATAATGGTAAATATTAACGGCCATTTTGCTTTTTTAAAGAGTAACTATATAGTATTCCGCGATAGGCGAAGCAAGCCACTGCGACGGACAGAATGAAACTAATAAGCACTTTTTTTTTTAAATTTTTAGGAAAAGTGCTAAAAACCACGTTTGTCATTCAATTGTCGTCGTATGCTACAGCGACAAATATTCAATTATCCGAAATTCTGCGACGGTCGATTTCGCATCTCTCTGCAATATAACCTACCCTATTTAAAACAGAGAATTGATTAATATTTTAACACTTTGATATTGTGCAACTAGATATTGTGATCGAGAAATCCTGTCTCGAGAATTTTCTAGAATTTGTATTATTTTGGATTTCTCATTCTTGAGAATTATTATATTCTAGATTCTGATTTCTGAAGAAACAAATAATTTTTAAATTTTTTAAAATTCACAAAAACTAAATATACAACAAATACAATCTGGTTGCTGAAACTAGAATTGTTTGAAAAACTTTATTTTTAGTACATTTTGGTTCTCTGGGGAATTATGTATATAATAAATTGTGTTGGACATTAGAATTAAATTTTAAGAAGAAGTTGGAAAATACTATCCGTCAAACACTTAAACCTACTCAAATCACAATTGATGATGACATTAGTACTTTATTGAAGGAAATAAATATTTATGAAGCTACTGGAAATCTTACAATTAATTTACTTTAAAATTACAATAATGCAAATATACAAATATACAAATAATTTAATTATTTCTCAAAATATAATTAAATTTTTTAATAATTTATCTTAATTAAACTATTAAAAACTAATTAGAAATATTTGAAATTATAAGCAATATTAATTTTTTTTATGTTATGTAACATTCAAAAATTACAATGCATTATTTTTGTTATTTCTTTAACATAAGGATGTGTTTGTTTTAAGTTATGTTTTTTAATGTAACAAAAAAAATTCTAATGGAAACTTCTGTATTTTCTCGAGAATTTTCGAGAAAATGTTAACAGATTTCTCATATCTCAGGAATTTAAAAATTGCCATAATGAAAATTCTCATTTCTCGAGATTATAAAAAGTACGAGAAATCACAATCTCTATGTGTACCTATCACTGTCGCAGTGTCGCAGTAACGTGAACAGCCCTTAAGTAAATAAAGATTAATTAAGAACATTGCTTGAATTTTTATTTTTATTAAGTAGTAAGTGGTAAGTGGGGATTGCAGAATGGGAATTAAGTATGAAACAATCGTATAAGGCTTATAAAAATTGTGAGCATTTTAGTACAATCTTTGAAATTTATTTAATCGTCTCATTTTTCGAAAAGAAATATGTTTCTTATAATGCAATATTGCATAATTTGTACACTTTGTGTATTCGGTTCATATTATATCATAAGTAATAAGATATACAGGGTGATTCAGTAAAAAGTACAGTATTATATATCATTATTTAGGGCATCAAAAATGGATAAAATTGTTGTTGGGAAGTAGTTGTCAAAACTTAACTGTTTCCGAGATACAGGGATTTTAACGAAATTTTTTCTTGCCCAAGCTTTTTTGTAACTTTGCTTTTTTTATAACTTCCCTTCCGAAAAAGATAAAGGCTTCAAATTAACAGTTTCTGAAAGCTAGCCCTTCCCTTAAAGGACTTGAAAGCAATATATTACTTGATTTTGTATTTTAGGTACTTTTGAAATACCATGCATTCGAACTTTAAAAAAACACCAATTTCGTTTGTTAATTTTTTTTATGACTACAATTTTGCATGAAAGTTTCAGAAACTTTAAGTTTTTTATTACAGAATTTCGGCACCCTCCATAAGCTCAAGTTCTCTAAAGATAAAAAATCTTTTACGATACAGGAGATATAGCATAGAACAATTTCTATGTTAAGATTTTAAGGGCCCTAATAAAATGTAAAATATCAAAAATTTGTCACTATTTTCAAATTTTATTGATTTTAAGTGCTGTAATGATCAACTAATATTAATTTTTATCACCCTGTATATGCATTCTTTCCTATGTATGTATAAGTTATTATGTGAACCAAAAGAATTTAGCTAAGAGTCGGAACAAAGTTGAAGTCATAACGATTAAGAAAAATAAAACAGACAAAAAATACTGCACATAAAACAACCTCAAAACATGTAAAAAAAGATTAGCACTGAAATCAGGACAAATTCTAACTATACTAGGTTATTTTGTCCTTGTTGTCTTTTTTTGTTTTTTTGTTACATTCTTTTATGTTAAGGATAATAAACAAAATAGCTATATAATCGTAACATGGAAACTATTCTGTATAACTAGCAAGAAAATTATTCTAATATTAATATAAAATTACTTATATTTTTTTGTAACCCATATTAAATTCCCAAAATTTTTGCAGCAAAAATTTTTGAATCTCCTTTCTTATTATGAACTTTTATAATAAATCAAATAAGATACATATAAAAAGCAACACAATTATTTTCCTATAACACAAAACATGAAAAAGTTCTTCCAAATTTTATTTTTAAAATATCAAAAGTTTCATTATGTTAAAAAAAATTAATATCGGAATTGCATGCAAATAATATTAGAATTACATAAACTTATATCTCTTAGGACTTTGAATTAGAATATCACTTTAACGTAAATTTTAAAATTTCTAAATTATATTAATTTTTTTTGTATTTATTTTTTATCTTTGCACTGAAAAAATTTTTGTTCGCGACATTTTACATAAACACCTAACGTTTGAGTTTTCAAACCGTACTAAAATAATATTCAACGACCTAAAATAAAAGAACTCAAACAAGTTAATCGTAAAAAATTTTTCGTTTTTATTCATAATAAAAAGCAAAGTATATCTATTTTGTAAGTAATTCGACTCGTTCCAAATTGTTAATTTCCGTTTGCTTCCACTATTCTCAAAAAATTCCATTTTCATTAAAAAATAGGTGATAATAAGAGTTATGTACTCGTAGGCAAAGAAGAAAAAAAATATTGTAAACAAATGAGTGTATAAAAAATAGCGAACTGAAGTAAGTAATATTTAAGTCAAGTAAACAAAAAATTTTGCTTACTTGACTTGAATTTTAAAAATGATTTGAAAATTAATAGCCAGTAGTCGTTTGCTGACTTTTAAACTGACATAGTAATGAGTTTGGAGCTGGTTCCAAATCAAGTAACTCAAGTTGCAATACACACGAGGTGTGTAAACCGAGCAATGTATAAAGAAAAAAATACGTATGCATACTAATTCATATTTTATGAAATATATTAACGATACATGCGTATGTATATTTTAGGAAATATTTATTTTAAATTTTCAATTTAACTCTATTAGCTAAGGGAATTTTTTGTACACAAATATTAGTGAGTGATTGCATTTGTGTGATGTAATCGCAGAGTCGAATTACTTATAAAGTAGATATACTTTGATAAGAAGGTAGCAGGCAATGTATATCTATTTCATAAGTAGTTTAAGTCGTTCCAAGGCGTTAATTTCCGTTTGTTTGACACATCCACTATTCTCAAAATATTATTATATTAGATATATTATCATTGTTGAGTGCATCACAATTTGGCAAATTTTTTGTTTGAAGTTACTTCTCAAAACTCAATCGTTTCCGAGATACAGGGATTTTAACGAATTTTCGCGAAATTTTTACTTGCCCAAATTTTATTTTTTTACCAAAATAACGGTTCTTAAACGCCTCAACTGCTTTTTAACGTAGCTATTGAGGTCAAAAATTAATAATATTTAATAATTACAGCACTTAAATTAAATAAAAATTAAAATTAATGACAATTTTTTGATTTTTTACATTTTGCTAGGGCTTTTAAAATCTTGAAATAGAAATGGTATATTTGTTGTACTTATAATTTATGCATTGATTTATGATTAATGAAAGTACTATAATTTGGTATATTTCAATATTTTGACTTATTATCCATTTCGGTTATTCAAAAGATACCTATAGAATTGTTTCAAAAAATTTCAATTAGTTTTTAGCGCTTTTCCAAAAAAAATTTGAAAAAAAGTGCTTATTAGTTTTACTCTGTCCGTCCGTTCGTCCGTCTGTCCGTGTGTCTGTTTACAAACCTTCTACATCCTTGCAGATAGAAAGCTGAAATTTTATACGTACATAGATCTTTATTAGAAACTTATTTCCGTAGAGCAAAATTTTCACCTATCTCCCCCCTCTGAAAGTTATACCCCATTAAAACCCTAAAAACGGTAGTTTTTAACTATTTATTGCAGTGAAACAATAAGTATTTTTCAAATTTTGCAAAAGCAAAAAAACATTGGCTGGCTTCTTCTAACGCGGCATATTATTTCTGAACTTTAAAAAATGAAATGGCCGTTTAAATTTACCGTTTTTCTTCTATACTGTACGTTACAGGAGTCTGAAATTTTAGCATCTCTTAAATATTGTTAAATAGTTTATTTTGTTACAAGAAAATTTTTTCCCATCTCCAACCCTTCTCAAGTTATCGCCTCTCGAAATTTGTAAAATTTAAATATTTGGCACCTTATGTTTCCAAATCTGCAGGCTCAAATTTCTATAAACGCGAAAACTCTATCACTAAAAAAATATAACTATTTTTCTCAACTCACACAATTAACCCTTACAATCGAGCATTATGTGAACACTTCTTTAAATTTATTTTTGCTTTACTTCAAAGACTGCATAAATCGTTCATCCCATATATGTATATATGCAATCCTAGAAATAGTTTCGTATATGAATGAAAATAATTCTAATAGTGTGGTAGGTATACATAAGTTGTATTTTTAAGCAGTGTTCTCATTTGTTGAAGGGAAAAGTGCTACAATACAAACCATTGGTTTGACCCAACTTTATTAAGTTGTTAAACATGAATATGTATGAACTTAGTAAATCATTTTAAAACTAGTTCAAGCATGTTATATTTAGTGCTTGCAACGTTAATTTGTGCTCTTGTTTAAAAGGGTCTTGTCTGTATTTTTATGGCCTATCCTAATACTAAACGCAAACGCACGAAAATTTACAAAACTACCTCTCAATTTTAAATCGAAATTTTTGAGTCATTTGCTAAGATTATATTATTTTCAAAAATAAAAAAAATATTCAAATCCGGTCATAGCAATATGTGATTGTTTTTTTTCCAAAATATTTAAAAATTTTTCTTAAATAGAAATAGAAGCACACTTTTAAGTGTGTGAAATTTGTATTGGTAAAATAATATTTGATTGTATTTTAGATATTATTTTCTAATTCTCTCTTGATAATTTTTCTTTACTATGTATTTATATCATTTAATATTCTTATATTATTCTTTCATTAATTATATTTTCTATTTGCACTACAATTACTTCCCATATCTTGAGTTAACTTACCCTATGAGAAAAAAAGCTCTTCACTTGAAAATAATGAAATGCTTTCAGTACCATAAAAAATGTTGAAAGCAAAAGTTTTGCTTGTAGTTTTCCGCTTTTTGAATATATTTTAAGAATTTTAAATAATTGTGAATGGAAATATTTCTATATTTAATTTATTTTTAAATATATTTTTGGAATTTTACCTGCTTTGCAATAAGTATGAATTTATTTTGTTATTTCTTTTAAAAAAATAGCCATTTCGATGTAAAAAAAATAACCGTATAAAAAAAGGTCGTGCTTTCAAGTTTCTCTCTTAGAATTGAGACTATAATCAATAAAGACATTAGACAAGGTATGCCTAAATTTGCAATGTACAACCTTATAAAAGCAATTATAGAAATAATGAAACAAATGAGGTGTAATTTCATAGCTTTCCAGAAAATCCTGAATTACGGAAAAAATGAATAAATGCATGTTGCAATAAAGATTTGAAGTTGGCAGATTGGGAAGATTATTCTTTAAAAAGCAATCTGATAAACGTATCTTTGAAATTTAAATAGTGTGAGTTTTTTAAAATTGTTAACATATTTCAAGAAGTAATTACATATATCTAAAAAACTTAAAAATGTTAGAGCAAATTTTAAATGTGCGCTACAAATGCAAGTATTTAATTTGCAAAAACAATGCGAATATTTAAAAAGAGCCAATACGAAGTTGGTAGAAGAAAAAAAATAAAAAAATAAAAAAAAGAAGATATTTTATCTGAATATCTAATTCTTTAAGAAGATGGACATTAAAAATAAATACGAGACCCGGAATTTTTCAAAGTGTTCTTGCTTTGATGAAAAAAGCCGAATCAAGTACAAAACAAAAATTTGTGTTTTATGCTTTGATGAAAAAAAATTAAATAAAATTATATCAAACCAATGGCTTTTAAATACAGTCTATGTATACCTACCACAGTATTAAAATTATTTTCACTCGTAAACGAAACAATTTCTAGGATTGCATAGAAATATTATATTTATTAGGATGAACTACTTATTCAGTCTTTGAAATAAAGGAAAAATTAATTTAAAGAGGCCTTAACATAATGCTCGATTTTAATGGTTAATTGCGTGACTTAAGAAAAATAATTATATTTTTTAAAGTCATGGAATTTACCATTAGCTTTTTACGTTTATAGATATTTGAAAAAGCTTGCGGTTTCGGAAATATAAGGCAAATATCAAAAATTCAAATTTTACAAATGGAAGATGGGAAAAAATTTTCTTCTGACGAAATAAACTATTTATTAGTGTCTATAAGGTAACGGTAAATTTGAGCGGCCATTTTGTTTTTTTAAAGTTTAATTGAAGTATGCCGCGATAGGAGAAGCAAGCCTTTCTGCGTTTGCAAAATTTGAAAAATGCTTATAGGATCACTGTTAACAAATAATTTAAAAAATGGCATTTTTAGGGTATTGGGGGGGTATAACTTCTAGAGGCGAGGGAGATAGGTAAAAATTTTCTTCCACAGAAAACAAGTTTCTAGTAAAGATCTAAGTACGTATTAAATTTCTTGCCATCTTCAAAGGTGTAGAAATTTTATAAACATGTCCACAGACGGACGGACGGACAGAGTAAAACTAATAAGCACTTTTTTTCAAAATTTCTTTGGAAAAGGGCCATAAAGGATTTTGCATACAACAAAGTGATTGACATTGTGTTCCAATAATAATGTGTTATAATTGGAAACAACCATTATGTGTTATAATTATATGATGATAACTATATGATGTAAGCTATAGGGTAATCGGTATTGTATCAGATATGGGTCCTGATAATCGAAACCTTTAGGCAATGCTCTCTTTGTAACATCTATACTATTAAATTATACTGTCAAATTATACTAAATTATACTGTTTTAGAGTCATAAAAATTTATATGAATTTTATTTATTGTTATTCATATTGTTTAGAGTTGTTCCGTAAAATTGTCAAATAAAACTGATAATAAAAGAAATTTTATAATAAAATATGTTCATTTTCGAGAATAGTAAACTATAGTTATTTGCAATTCTTAAAATAAATTTATTCAAAGAGAATAAAAATAATAAGTTTTGTTTAAATTTGGATGTTTTTAACAGTTATCTAAATGAAAAAATATTTTGAAATATATCTTCGTTTTTACTTTAAAAAAAAAATTTAACTTAGCCTTATCCGAAAATCTGGTTACAATTATCCCAGACACATAATAGATATGATAAACCAAAACGTAGAGCCAAGAGAAGATGGGGGCAAACACGAGATCCCGCATATAAAAATATATTAAATAATAGATCACAAAACTTAAGAAGATTGAAGAAATATTTACAAAGTTTGACTGCTACGAAAGAAACAAAATATTC